ATATGTTAATCATAAATTAAATATTAATTTCTATATAAATAACATTATTTCTTCCACTATAGAGTGAGATTGTTGTAATTTTTTATCTCTCCAATTTTCGAAGATGAAAATCTAATAAGGAGATGAGTCTTATCCTATATAATGATGAATCCATTTTTTTTTAACTTATTTGATTTGATTTATATGAATTAGTTATTGTTTTTATTATTTTTTAATTTCGTGTTGGATTCCAAATATATTAAACCAAATTTCAAATAAAATTACCAAATTTTCTATACATTCATACAAAAATTAAAATTTTCTCACAAAATTCGTCACTATATTTTTTCTGTCACAAAAATTCGACACAAATATTAATTTTTTAGTATTTAACATTTAATCTGACATAATCTATTAAATAAAAAAATTAAATTAAATTACTTAAAAAATCTATTTATTTAAAAAAATTAGACTTAAACTTATTAAAAATTTGATAAATCTAATAGATGAATCTATTTATCTACTACATGATATTAATATAATAAAAATATTAATAAAAAATTTGATCTATTAAATATTTAATCTGACATGATATATTAAATAAAAAAATAAATTTAATTATTTAAAAAATCTATTTATTTAAAAAAGTTAGACTTAAACTTATTAAAAATTTGATAAACATAATAGATGAATCTATTTATCTACTATATGGTATTAATATAATAAAAAATATTAATACACACGGTTTGGTGGCTTTAATACCCTTCTACATTTTCTAATTCTGTTATCAAGATTCATCATCTTTTGTGGCAAAACGTGATAACAACAGAAAGAAAAAATAAGAGAAAAGTGTGGATGTGGGAATTTTGGTTGTGCAATGACCACCAGCGATGATGTAGCGTTTTCCCTGAAGGAGAAGTTACAGGAATTGGTTAAGAGTATCGTGGAATCTGATGACTACACCGTATATCCATTTTTGCTCTTTCTGCTCTTAAAGATTTTAAATGTACAACTTCTCTCTCGCGAACCATGGACAATGAAAAATGATTCATCATCTAAAAATTTTGTCCGAAATATATTCTGACATGGTATATTAGGTAATAATTTAAATTTTTTTTTTACTATGTATTCGGAAAATGTTTCGTTATATTTTTCGGAAGATGTAGAATCACTCTTGGACAATATATCTGTTCCTGTTCCTCCTCACTTTATGTGTCCCCTCTCTGGACGATTGATGACAGATCCTGTTATCTTGGCCACTGGACAGGACATGTACGTTTGTTCTCAATTCTCTCTTCATAAAAGAACAATTCTTTCATTCTTGCTAATCGTTTCACCATAAAAATTCATCTACATTCTTGTGCTTTTGTTTAGATTTTTAATGTTGCTTCTTTGAAGAATGAAGATTGAAAATCAGTTCTTAAAAAAATATTATTTTTTAGACACTCTTCATCCAATGAGATGTAAGAAGAAATAAAAGATAAGAGATTGATAGGATAAAATAATAAATAGAAATAAGAAGTGTTAATAGGATGTTTTCATCTTTTGAGTGTATATATCCACCATTCTTGATTATTATAGGAACAATATTTTTTAGACATTTCAATTTTTTTAACATTTGATCGATATTTCTAATTTCTCTTTATCACTTTATACAAAAATTGTGACGGATTTTTTATAGACAAAATTTAATCTGTCATGAACTTTAATAAATAGTAATCCATCACAAAAATTAAAATTCTCTCACAAAATTTGTCATTATATTTTTTCCGTCACAAAAATTCGTCATAAATATTAATTTTTTTTAGTATTTAATATTTAATCTGATATAATCTATTAAATAAAAAAATTAAATTAAATTACATAAAAAATATATTTATTTAAAAAAGTTAGACTTAAACTTATTAAAAATTTGATAAACATAATAGATGAATCTATTTATCTACTACTTGATATTAATATAATAGAAAATATTAATACACGCGGTTTGGTGGTTTTAATACCCTTCTACTCCTTCTAATTTTGTTATCAAGATTCATCATGTTTTGTGGCAAAACATGATAACAACAGAAAGAGAAAATAAGAGAAAAGTGTGGATGTGGGAATTTTGGTTGTGCAATGGCCACTAGCGATGATGTAGCGTTTTCCCTGAAGGAGAAGTTACGGGAATTGGTTAAGAGTATCGTGGAATCTGATGACTACACTTCTCTCTTGCGAAAGTTGGACAATGAAAAATGATTCATTATGCGAAAATTTTGTCCGAAATATATTCCGACATGGTATATTAGGTAATAATTTAAATATTTTTTTTTACTGTGTATTGGAAAAATGTTTTGTTATATTTTTTGGAACATGTAGAATCACTCTTGGACAATATATCTGTTTCTGTTCCTCCTCACTTTATGTGTCCCCTCTCTGGACGATTGATGACAGATCCTGTTATCTTGGCCACTGGACAGGACATGTACGTTTGTTCTCAATTCTCTCTTCATAAAAGAACAATTCTTTCATTCTTGCTAATCGTTTCACCATAAAAATTCATCTACATTCTTGTGCTTTTGTTTAGATTTTTAATGTTGCTTCTTTGAAGAATGAAGATTGAAAATCAGTTCTTAAAAAAATATTATTTTTTAGACACCCTTCATCCAATGAGATATAAGAAGAAATAAATGATAAGAGATTGATAGGATAAAATAATAAAGAGAAATAAGAAATGTTAATAGGATGTTTTCATCTTTTGAGTGTAAATATCACCATTCTTGATTATTATAGGAACAATATTTTTTAGACATTTCAATTTTTTTTAACACTTGATCGATATTTCTAATTTCTGTTTATCACCTTATACGAAAATTGTGACGGATCTTTTAGAGACAAAATTTAATCTGTCACAAACTTTAATAAATGGTAGTCCATCACAAAAATTAAAATTCTCTCACAAAATTTATCATTATATTTTTTCTGTTACAAAAATTCGTCACAAATATTAATTTTTTTAGTATTTAATATTTAATCTGACATTATCTATTAAATAAAAAAATTAAATTTAATTACTTAAAAAATTTATTTATTTAATAAAGTTAGTCTTAAACTTATTAAAAATTTGATAAACATAATAGATGAATCTATTTATCTCCTACTTAATATTAATATAATAAAAAATATTAATAGTAGCATCACGAAAAATATTTTGTACGCATATATTACCCTCGAAACTAAAAATGATGAATAGAATAAACAGTCAGGGCGTCAGGGGTCGTTCTGTTACTCTTCACACCGCTCCTTTCTTTATTTTTGTGTTGGATTCTAAATATATTAAAACAAATTTCAAATAAAAGTACCAAATTTTCTATACATTCATGCAAAAATAAGAATGGATCAAACTTTAAATAAGAAATTTATAATTTGATCTATTTAATATTTAATCTGACATGATCTATTAAATAAAAAAATAAATTTAATTACTTAAAAAATCTATTTATTTAAAAAAGTTAAACTTAAACTTATTTAAAATTTGATAAACATAATAGATTAATCTATTTATCTACTACTTGATATTAATATAATAAAAAATATTAATACTATCATCACGAAAAATATTTTGTACGCATATATTACCCTCGAAACTAAAACTAAAATTGATTAACAGAATAAACAGTCAACGCGTCAGGGTTTGTTCTGTTACTCTTCGCACCCTTCCCTTCTTTATTTTTGTGTTAGATTCCAAATATATTAAAACAAATTTCAAATAAAATTACCAAATTTTATATACATTCATGCAAAAATAAGAATAGATCAAACTTTAAATAAAAAATTTATAATTTGATCTATTTAATATTTGATCTGACATTATCTATTAAATAAAAAAAATTTAATTACTTAAAAATCTATTTATTTAAAAAAGTTAAACTTAAATTAATTAAAAATTTGATAAACATAGTAGATGAATCTATTTATCTACTGCTTGATATTAATATAATAAAAAATATTAATACTAGTATCACGAAAAATATTTTGTACGCATATATTACCCTCAAAACTAAAACTGATGAACAAAATAAACACTCAGTACGTCAAGAATTGTTCTGTTACTCTTCACACCCCTCCTTTATTATCGCAAACCAATTTAGCACTATACTAATATTATTCCTTAAAAATGTACTTCATTAAAATTTAATATCAGATTTATTTAATTATACAATTCAGTAATTAGTCCTCCAAAGTGATAACATAAACTCGTGGAGAACAAGTTGGAATAACTAAGTAAATCATTCACTAAAAAAATCTATGACTAATAACTGACGCATATTTTCAATGATTAAAATTTAAAAATGACATATTTAGTTATTTTAAGAAGACTAGATTATTATTTTGATTCAGTTTGATCTTTTATTTTTAAAAAAAATTATTTTAACCCTTTTTCTTTTAAAAATGCGAGTCACACACTTTATTATTGGTTCAAATTTATTAAAAATCATGTTTGAAACAAAATAATTACAAACATGATAAAAATCATTTTTATTCTCTTATTTCCACCCTATTTGTTACCCATTTCTTCCTTACCAAACAAGACATAAAAAATGAATTCAATGAACAACAAAATTTTAAAAAAAAATCTAATATTAGATTCTTTTCTAACTGTCCATTAAATTTATTTTTTACACAATTTAGTCCTTTTTTGTTTGAACATCGATCAAGTTTTATAATTTTAAATGTAGATGAATTAAAGAGACAAATTTCATACCTTAAATCAATTAAAAGAAAAAATTAAAATCACATTCCAAAATTAAAAATAATCACCATTTTAAAATAACCAATTTAGTCCAAAGTTAAAATATAAAATATCGAAATGAATATATATAAATAAAAATAAATAAATAAATAAATAAATAAAAGAGGATGAAAAGTATAATTTTGTATTTTGAAAATTGAAGTTGGCACCTTCAAAAGTTGAGTTACTGTTACCAATAGAAAAGCAACGTGTCCAAGTTTATTTTAGTACCCCAAGACATGCACAGAACTGTTTCAAAGCTGTCAATAAAAGGACAAATAAAAACATATTACCAAATAAGTTCTTAAAATTCAAAATGGGAAATACAATTCAGAATCCATGTTTTGACATATAAGGCGACTCGGTTCTTGTGTAAAGTCTAGTACTCTGTCTCTCGCTGAGACAAGAGCCCAAGGCCTCAACAGTCGTTATGATTGCCATCTGCAGTTATGAATCAGAACAGACAGAAAACGAACATAGTAACCATTTTCAGTAAGATGCAAACAGAAACACTGGCATACAAATCTCGACTTGAACAGTTGTTTCCCTCACAAGTCACACCCACCCTCCTCCTTGTATTATTACCTCCTAATATCTGGACATGCAAACATAGATCGAAGGGGTTTACTTATCTGACCTTGCTATCATATTTGTAAAAGTCGCTCCATCATAGCTGGAACTCTTACATTAAACAAGGAAGAAACCTAATGAAGACAATCGAAGAATCTGTCACTCTGAAGCAGCAAGTATATAAAAAGAGAAAAGGAATTCAAGTAAAAATTGAAAGATTCTGCTGTTTCTAGCCAGTCTGAAATCAAATTGATCTCAGATAATGCTCCATACATTTATTTTCTCACAATAAATAAAAGGCTAAATTATGACACAGCTTGACCAACCTTGGCATTATACGCCAAGGTCGAGCAAGTAATTGGATGTTGTCGATATGAAAAATACTTTGGAAATTCAAACAGATTCAAACCAATCACTCCTTGTTAAAGACAAAAAAGCATAAAACATACATTTACCCAAAAAAAAAGTTAAAATGTTCAGGGGCTTCTTACAGCTGCTTAACCTCAATACCTAAAGCCTCTGTAAGCGCCATATAATTGCTATAGTAGTTAAAAGATTCAATATCCAAAGTATATCATTATCCAAATTGTTTCATTTCTCCATGAACACCATATGCATAACATAATTGATTCAAAAACGGTTTCCTTTAAGTAAAACAATCATAGAGTATAAACGACAACAATCTAGTTATGTAATAGATTCTACTGTTGGTTAACATAATTTTCATTTGTCTTAATAAAATCAAACTCCAAGGAAAGCTTGCTTAGATGCACTTTCACATTTAAGGATACAAAGGAGGATACATTGATAAAACCTCTGAGGCTTGGTAAGTTATTACTGCAAAGTTATGCAAAGAAACCACGTTAAATGTAGAACTTCACATTCAAATTTATATACATATAACATCTAAATAGGAAATGTACTAGGATAACTTACCCACAGGCCACTGCAAATGTAGTGTCTTCACAGTTCTGACCAAGACAATGCTAATAACTTTCCTTGTCATCAAGTTTATCTGACTTGATACATTTATTGTTGGAGATATCATCCTCACAAATATCAAGAGACTCTGAAGGATGATATCGGTCTGAAAATGCATTCTTCGGGAAAGAATCTGAATTGCGACTCCTGTGAGTGTCCTTTTGCCACCTATCCCTGATTCTAGATGAGTTATCATACTTCTTTCTATTTGAGAAGTAATCCTGTTTGTTATGATGACTACTATACTCTTGTGATCGACCATGACTTAAGTGTCTTTCAGAGCTTGTAGATGGACGATCTCTATGATATTTTCCTCGTTCTGCATCCCGTTGATCTTCTCGATAATAATGGCTCCTATGATGCTCATGTTTGCGTTGTTTGTGATCTCTAGAAAATGCATCATCCTCCACACTTTTGCTTTTGTCACAACAGTTAGTTTGTGATTGTTCCTCATAATTACGTGCATTACTGATTGTCACTTCAGGTGAATCATGATTAACTTTTCTTGAATTATTAGCTTCCATGGGAATGTCAGCAGGAGGCTTGGGTGGAAACAACCCAGTCTCTTTAGACATCTTCACAGGGCTCTCAAAACCTCCAGCCTGCTTGATTTGCTCCATGAAATCCTCTATCATGTACCGCATTGCCTTCAAGAAGGAATTTAAAATGAAGTACAAAATTAGCTAAAATTAATAAATTAAATTAAAAAATATATATTTCTTGAAATAAACAAATAATGTGCTAAAGATAGATGTTAGGAACACACTACTTCCTATTAGTTGAAATTTATTGGAGTGTTGTTAAACTATAGCAGCGTTAACACTATTGCATTGCAGAATTCCTTTAATTCGCTATCATGACTCCATCCGCTATAGTGGCCACTATAGTGTCATGTTTGCAGCCTATATCCTACAACCTCTAGTGATCTCTACTGAGTCTCAAACTAATTAAACTCAGAGTTAATAATTAATATTGTGTCAATTTTTATGCTTTTTACTTTTATTTTATACAACTTACTTTTTTATGCATATACAATTGATATATATCATATATTTTAACCGCTATGCAACTTCCGCTAATTGCCCAATATGATATAGCAGATTATTGCCTTTCCACCATTTTCCACAATCCGCAAATGATAACATAGACTGGAACTCCCAAAAAAAATGGTAGAGGTCTCGCATCATATTTAATGAATCTCTCTCATTCTTTTTTTAGTTTTTAATAAATTTCAAAATAATAGGAAAGAATGTGTTAGGAGTGTATTGTTAGCATTCCCTCATACAAAAGTGGCACCAAGCCACCAACTACAATAAGTATGATAATTACAAGATGCTATGATTATTCAGCTTCAACAGCGAAAAGGAGCAATTGGAAAATGAAACCATGACTAAGCACATGAAGTTACTATGATTCAACAATATAAGTTAAAAGATAAAAATCAGTAACTACTTCAGTACTTCTAACCTGTAAAGGTGATTGTGATTTATTTGCCTTCTTGCCACGATATGACATTCTTCGACGTTTGTAATCCCTTTCTTCAGCAAGCAACTCCTCCCGTGTCTTTTTTTTAGATGTTTCCTATAATTGAAGGCAGGAGTAACCAATGAGGTGCTAAAATTCATTCAAGAGGTTGACATTTTCTAACATAACATAGAAGCAAACTAATTCCCTAATTGCCAATATATCGGGCATTCCATCTAGTCAGACAAATTCAACAGGAGCACTTATTCTCCTGAAAAATAATCAAAAATACCTGATTGGATGATTGCTGCCGATGAAGGCCATCATGATCAATTAGGGGTTCATAATCAAGACGCTTTGTCCGCTCTTCATTTGCTTTCTCAGACAAATAAGAATGCTCAGCAGCCCTAGAGAAATAAAGCCCCATATATTCAGATTATTAGCTCACAATTTTCCGAATCATTTGATTGTATATGATCATAGACAAAATGTAAGACACCACTTATATTTCATAGGTTTCAGTTGGATTTAAATTGCAGCCTCAAGGACTAAAGCAGCAACAATCGCAATTTAGAACCATTTCACCAAAGAAACATTTGTGACAAAATATACAAAATTTAAAAAAGCATATAGAACATACAGCTGATAGTTACTTGGCTGCTGAGAAAACCAAAACCCCTTAATTCTCTGTTCAAACAAAGACCTTTCATGCAACGCCGCAACAGCCGCAGCAACTTGTGGCACAGAAATGCTTCTACTCAGTACACAGTTTTTCTTCTGCCCACACTGAGCACCAGGTTTCGCATTCTCAACGTCCCCACTCCCTGCACTTAAATTTCGGGACTCTTGCTTCGAAGAGTCGTTCCCTAAAGGAAACAGCAACAGAACCGACGCACCAACCATGACACATTTTTTCAAAAAATTAAGAACAAAAGCCTTTGCGTTAATTGCGCCGTAGAGGATCGAAACCTGAGACGCTAACCAAGTCAAAGCCTGGTAGGAGACGGGGCAATCCACGCGCGAGTCTTGGCTCTCCGCGGAAACGGAAGCTTCTTTGATAATCGACTTGAGGCATACGCAGCATAAGCGAAATACATGGCACTGCATAGCGGTATCGATAACGACGCCGTATCGAGGCGAGTTCGCGATAATCCAGTCCGTTAATTGACGGTCGTCGGCGGTTCCGAGAGCCGAAACGGCGCGAGTAACGGAGTTGGAGAAGGAATTGGGGAAATCGTTCCAGTAATCGAGTTCACGCGCGATGGAGAAGTAGCTAGAGGGAAGAATGGGCGCGTGGGTGGCGTTTGTGTGGGTGCATTGGAGAGATAGGAAGGAGGGGAGAGTGAGGGTGGCGGTTTGGGTGAGGGCGTGTGCAGGGGAGAAAGGTACGACGGCGGGGCAATGGCGGTAGAAGAAGTTGGAGAGGGAGTTGAGGTAGAAAGAGAGTTGATCGGAGGGGGGGTTGTGGAGGGTTTGGGGGTAGGCGAGAGAGTGGGTGAGATCGGGGAGGGGGCGAGGAGCGGAAGGGCAACGGAGGTGGTGGAGGAAGAGGGAGTGAGGGGGGAGACGGTGGTGCGGATTGAAGAGGCATTGGATTAGGTTGGTGTTTAGGGTTGGTGGAGAGGGGGTGAGGGAGAGAATTTGGTTTGAGAGATAAATTAGGTTGTTGAGGGAAGAGAGCGTTGAGGAAAGATTAGGGCTTGGACATGGATTCATTCTTGCTCCTCTTGCTCCTCCCCCTGCCTTCACTTTCGCACTCTTCCAACTTATAAACTTTAATGACAAATATGGCAAATACACGCGTGCTGTGCCGTGGTGTTTCTTCTAACAATGCTAATTGATTGTTATAAATTTCATAAAACTTCATTTTTAGTCATTAATTATTGGTCACTGTATATATACTTTTTAATTTTTCTTTTTTTACTTATTTTTGTCAAAGTGTGATCATTATTAAAACTCATTCGTACATTCAATAATTTATTAAAATTTGATTTTCAACAATCATTCTCAAGTTGGAAGATACATGATGTGAGTCAGTCGTACATAAATAAGCACAACATGATTAGAATTGGTCATATACTAACTATCATGTAAAGGCATCAAAGTCACATATTAAAAATACATGACTTGAATCAGTCTTGCATCGATTATCACATGAAGACATTAAAAATACATGACTTGAATCGGTCTTACACCAAATACAACGTAAGTAGAATTGATCGTACATCAACTATCACACAAAGACTTTGAATATAAGTGACTTAAATCCGTGGTATACTAACAAACTTATCATGACATGAATTGGTTGTATATAGACAAGTGCGAAATATTGAAGAACGTGATTTGAATCAATCATAAATCAACAAGTTCAACGTGACCTAACTCTATCGTACATCGACATGCACAGAAGATTGAAGAGTGCAACTCTTAGCGAAATAAATAGATAGAGACATTGAATACAAGATACACTTAGCAAACACTTAGCGAAAGTTTTTGCACTATGCAAGTTAAATCTATCGTACAACAATATATAAACTTAATACTATAGCAAAAGATTGAAATGCATAAAGGGTAGACACCTTTGTTATAAGAAATGATGGTATATGAACAACTCAATTCTCCCTAAACTTCCACTTGAGACGCTTAACCTACAACACCTTGTTGATGTTGAAACAAAGACATGAATGGCCTATGTAATTGCAATCAATTAGAATGTCTTGTGTTTTCCCATCGAATGTGGAGAAAAGTTTGTAAGTGAACATTTATTCCTTTTCAAAGAGGAAGAGTTAGCAAGTGTAGGGCTCATAAACCTTGGGCATGGAGTACACACCCTTTTTGGAGTCGTTGATGAGGAAAGTCATATGGTTGTGAAAGTCAAGGACAACATATAAGCCAAATAGGGATTTGAGGTTAGTGTAAAGTTGGCCTTAGAGAGGTTCTAAAAGAGGTGGGTGTTGGAGCCGAGTTTTTTTGACACCATCATTTTTTTCGAAAGAGAAAGGTTTTGATGTGGAGGGAGCAATGAGAAGAAAATATTTGGTGTCGTCGTGTCGATAAGTACATTACATAACATTGTGATGAAATAATTCCAACAATAAATAAAAATGGCACACCATAGACCATTAATAAAAATAATCTACAATAGTATTTGTGTACAAATAAAATTATTATATCTTATTTTTATTTAGAGATATTTACGTCATTCTATAAATATATTCCTTCCTCCAATACTTATAATATCTAATTACCTAATTCATTTTTTATAGCACAATTACCTAATTCATTAGGATTATGAAAGTTGATTTAGTTGACAACATTAAATTTATTTTGAATTTATACTATATTTCAAGTATATGAGAAAAAAATGATTTACAATAATCAAGATTCATAATCATTTAATTGCACCACTTTTATTTTAATTATTTTTACTAAACTACCCTCCACTGAAATTGGATATCAAGAACAAAAATAAGTCATTAGGTATAAAAAAAAACTCAATTAAATTAAGAATATTTTAAAGATGGAATATATAAAATCAAATTAGTAAATTTGCTTATATTTGAGACCAACACCCATCTAAATTTTTTGTTTATATTCGATACTAAATGGAGTATTTTTTTCCCTCAAATTACCTCTAGTATTAATGAGATTCCTTATTTTTGTCATTAGGAAATATTATAATGACAAAAATAAGCTCTTATTTTACCAAAAATTCAAATAAATGATTTTAATTAAGAGTGTCTTGTAAAAAAAATTAAGACAAGATACATTTAAAATTCATTCTTATAAAAATGACTAAACAATACAAATTTTGTAAAAAAGATTGAAAAGAGTTTTTTTTTTTCCTTTTTTTTTTCATTCATAAACTAAACAAAGCATAAAGTTTAATTAGAGTGAGTATGGCGTTAAAAGGATAGGCGCTTTTTATATTTTTGGACCATTCTCATTTGTGAAACTATTCTAAGTGAGGCCCATCATATACTGAAAATAGCCCAATCCTTCTCCCATATGTGCTTCCATAATTACAAGCCTACAAGGTCCGTCTGAATTCAAGGAAAAAAAAAAAAGTTAATCACTATACACTGCTAGTGTAAAGTTTAATCAGAGTCGTTAATAATGTCTTTTTTATTTTAATTTAATTAAATGAGAAAATGAAAAGACACTATTAACGACTTTAATTGATTATTAATATAAAAAAATTTATACTTGCAGTGTATAGGTGATTAACAAAAAAAAAATAAATGTACATTTGATTTGCAAAGAATTTAAAGATCTGATAGCACCAAAAAAATAATAATATTTAATTTAAATTTAAAAGTGGTCATGAAATAGTATAAAAAAGAAAAGGATAAAATACAGAACAACAAATACAAAAAATATTGTTACTCAATAACTCGAGACACGCAACATTATTATTGTAAAGATAAAAATCAGTGTTTTAAAACCCGGACCGACCCGGCCGGTCGGACCGGTTGGACCGGGAACCGGTGGTCCAGCCGGTCCGAATCTGAAGTTGGATCGGTTATGCAGTCGACCCGTTTCAAACCGGATTGAACCGGTCAATTTTCCGGTTCAACCGGTGAACCGGTGGGTCAAACCGGTTCAACCACTTTTTTTTTTTATTTTTTTTAAATTTTTTTAAGGGACCATAAATCACAAAAATAATAATGAAAATTGAATCTCTTAATGAAAAAGCAAGGAGTCTTATTAAATATAACAATGACTACTTGTTCTAATATATTTGTTTGCAATATATACAACTTAAATAACTTTTATAGTATATTATTAATTTTAAATTATATATTTAATAATGCAATATCTATGTAAATATTACATATATTATTTTGTGATATTAATTGCAAGCATATTATATATGTACATATTATTTATATTTTTAATTTGTATTAATATATTGTTTAACATGTAATTTTTTTATGTATTTTTTTACAAAATAAAAATAAAAATAATTTTAAATAATATAGAAAAATTAAAATTTAAAATAAGATATGAATTTATTAAAATTTATAAGTATAAAATATATTTAATATGAATATTTTTTAATAAAAATAAATAAAAATCGAGTCATGCGGTTCAACCAGTGACCCACCGGTTCAACCTTTGACCCACTGACCCAGTACCTTAACCGGTTCGATGACCGGTCCGGTTTTTAAAACTATGATAAAAATGCTGAATTTATTTTTTCATTATCCTAAATCCCAACTCTCTCTCCCCCGTTAATGCCACCTACCATTATCTCCATGATCCATCACCACCCCACTATCAATGCCACTCACCATTATTATCTCCATCATCTTTATCATTGTTTTTATAATATATATATAAAATAAGATTTTCCATTATTATTTACCAAGTTATTTGGTACGCATAAAGCTCTAAATAAGATAAGGATATTATAGACGATTACACATGTATTTATCTAATACCATTGCGTATCAAAAATATATTTGTATTGTATATGGATTACCAAATGATAGAGGTGTCTTGTGACTTATGAGTTATGCCTCAACTATGCCGTACTTTTCCTTAATCCTTATTCTATTTGATCCTATATTATATATATCAAATTTTTTTGTAAGTGAGAATATTTTTAAAAATTACTATTGAATGGTGGTGATATTTTTAGAAATTATCTTTTAATGAAAATATTTTTAAGAGTTGTTTCACTCACATTAAATTACTGTATTTTCCTAATAAATAAATTGAACATTTATTTTTATTTTTATTTAATTTAAATATACTTCTTAATTTTAATTTTAATTTAATTAATCCAAAAAATATATCTTAACTATCTTAATATTTCATATATCCTCATTTTTTTCCTCTTTTTCCTTAATCTTCCCTCTGGTCTCTCTTTTTCTTTCTCTTTTGTCTTTCTCACTTCTCTCTTCTTCTCTTTGTTATTTTTTCTATTTTTCTGTTATGTATCAATATTGACATAAAATTTCTTAATATTTATTTTTTAAATTATTAAATATTTAAAATTTTACTTATGTTTATTTTTTACCATTATTCAATCCCAATAACATAACAAAGAAGATGTTAATACATAGAGAGTTATACATGAGAAAATGTTAATTAAGTTTAAGAGTATATGAAATTATAATTAATTGTTCATTGAAAGATTAAAAAATAGTATTAATTTTACTTTTTTATTCAAATTTTATCTTTTATATTATCTTTTCATTAATTGTATATATTTTTAAAAAAATGCATGTTGTCATGTGGAATCTCATCCTTTTAAGTCTTCTAAATTCTTATAATATGTAAAAATCTATTAAAATCTAGATAATAAAATCTTAATTATAAAAGTGTTTTAAAATAATTTTAAAAGTCATTACATTCCTATAAAATCTTTTAAAATTTATAATATTTTTTCATATTTAAATTTTCTTTTAAAATCAGTCTAATACACCTCTAAATATTTAAAAATATTTATTTGTTATAAATTTTAGTTTATACATAAAAACATTTATTTTGTACATTTCACACGTACTAAAAACATATAACATGAAACATACTGTTATGAGATATGAATATGAATTTAAGAATTCTCCCGTTCGCCTAAGATTATGGAGGGAAAAGAATATGCACACCTGTTTCCCAACTGCCCACTGTTTAAGATATTAATAGTGGGTATATTTGTCCAAAAGCATAAAGATAAACTAAAACACTTTATGCTTGAGCCTTCATAATTTTGCAATTGTAAAAGAGGGGGTCGAGAATAATCAACGATCCTTCCATCGGATATTCCAAGTTTCTAAATCTAATTTGGATTAAAATTTGAAGTCGTTGTCATGAAAACATTTTCATTACCTGCCTTATAACAACTCTTCTTTGTGTACAAATCCTAGTTTATTCTATGCATTTTTTTTTCTAACAATCTGATATCTTTATTGGGTAGGAATCATTCATTTACATCACTTGTGTGAACTATATTGCGAGTTGTCACACGCGTTTGAAATACTACGGTAGAGTAAGAAAATAAATCAAAGAAGCAAATTGTTTATTTATTACCCGGATAAAGATTAAGAGACTTTGTTGACTAGATAAATATGGATTCATCGGCTCTCTTTTCTTTGAGAACATAATTACTAGTTGATAATAAAAATTTAATCAATTTTCTACCTTAAAAGAGTCCATTATTGTCTTCCACTTACTCTAAAAGATATCTAAGCTGCAATATGAAAGACGAATTAAAGACTTTGGCAAAAAAAAATAATGAAACCACATTAATGTGTATATGGGGCACTAGTTGTAGTCTTCTAGAGTTTTAGAAATGCTCAGAAAATTTTAGCCGCCGGGTCTCAAAACTAACAACTCTAAATATGTAATTCACCAGCTCCCATTATAAAAGTAATATTTCAAGCGGGTAGTGGGTACTATGTCGATTGTACAAGGTAACACTCAAACTGAGAAAAATTGGTGTCATGAAGTTGATGATGTGGAGCAATCTCAATCTAATCAATATTTTGACAAAAGTTTAGTGTCATAAAAAATGATTCGACCATTTTCTTAAAAAAAGAAAGCTTCAACTACCAAATAGTTAACTAATCCTAGAATTGGTCAAATATATACCGATGTCTCTCTCCTATAAATAGATACTTCCCATGCACCAAAACTCATCAAGTCTCCCACACAAAACACAATAGTTAAGAGTTTACTAGCAAAGGAGAAAAATGAAGTTTGTTTACTTTCTCGTTGTACTATTGGCTTTGGCATCCTCTCTTGCCTTTGCTTATGATCCAAGCCCCCTACAAGACTTTTGTGTGGCTATTAATGACACTAGAACTGGTGGTATATATACTATTCTTTCATAAATTTTCTGACCACAATCGAGTTTACATATATTTTTACATTAATATTATATTGTTCATTTTAAATTTAAACATTTGTAGATTTATTTTTAGTTATCATTTTAAAGATTTTATATCATTAGAAACTTATGTTCTTCCTTCTATTCTAATAGCGTAAAACTTTGATTGAAGTTCTGATATATCATAATAAGTATCTTCGTGTGATTTGATTTTTCTTAATTAATGTGCAGTGTTTGTGAATGGAAAATTTTGCAAGGATCCTAAGCTTGCAAGAGCTGAAGATTTCTTCTATCCTGGATTGGGAGCCGGAGACACATCAAATCCACTAGGGTCAAAGGTGACACCTGTGGCTGTTAACGAAATATTAGGACTCAACACACTTGGAATATCCTTGGCTCGTATAGACTTTGCACCAAAGGGTTTGAACCCTCCTCACACTCACCCTCGTGGGACAGAGATTCTTGTAGTATTGGAGGGTACCCTTTACGTTGGTTTTGTTGCATCCAATCAAAACGACAACCGTCTCTTCACCAAAGTGCTTAACAAGGGTGACGTGTTTGTGTTCCCCATTGGACTCATTCACTTTCAGCAAAACGTGGGTTATGGAAACGCTGTGGCCATTGCTGGCCTTAGTAGCCAAAACCCGGGGGTTATTACGATTGCTAATGCTGTGTTTGGATCTAAACCACCTATCTCTGATGAAGTTCTCGCTAAAGCTTTTCAAGTGGACAAAAACACAATCGACTACCTTCAGAAGCAATTCTGGTACAACAATAGTTAACGTGGGAACGTGATTCGTGATACCATGCATCTTGCTCGATCGGACCTTGGATAAATAGTTTTCTCATTTTGCTTGTGCTTCATGCAATTCACTCTCTCAAGCAATTACACTGCAATATTAAATAAAATGCATGTGGCTATTATGTGTATGACGTAGTTGATTTGTGTGGATTTGAATTTGGTTTGATATATCAATGTTACGAGTATAATAATAAAAAGAAACAACTAATTTGGCTTTTATATTCATACTGAACAAAATAGTTACCTGTCAGTGTCCACTAATTAATAATCATAATAAATATAATTTAAAGATACTTATTATAAAAAATAATAAGCTTATGATACATGTTATTTGAAAGACCATTGTCTATACTTCATCAATTATATCAACTTTAAAGATTTTATTTTAAAATACAGTGTATACAGAAATTCCAAAGTCATTAATAAGCTTAAAATTAGAGGTAAGGACCTTAAACCTGAAAGAAGGTAAACTTGGAACATGAATCGTAATACCATCTTGCTCGGACCTTGTATAAATGGTTTTTTAAATTTCGTTTCATGCATGCAATTGTTTAGTTTGTCAATATTGCAAGTCTAATAATTGAGTCCATACAAGATCTGATATATATCAATCGGATGCTGTTAACTATAAAAAAAATAAAATAATAAATTAAATGCTAAAGATTTTAAATCTTATAGCTTGTTTCATATATTTTCCAATTAAATCCTAACATTTCACAACTTAAAGAAAAATATTTGTTTTTATCACTTGAGTTGCCCTGTTTAATTGAAAATGAGGGAAGATATAAGGAAAAAAATGTCTCTAATTTGATTTTGAAAGACCTCTTGTCTATATTCCATTTTTCATGTCATTTTTTAAGCTTTTATTTTAAAAATACAGAGTGAACACAAAATAATAAATTCAGAAGTCACTTATATAATTAGTGGCAGTTTATGTTACAAATTTCGCCAAGTACCAAATAAAAAAATAAATAGGAAAAATATACACACAATTTTATATTTTTAAATTTGGAAGGAAAAAAAAAAAGGCATATAGTTATACCTACTTTATTTTTTTTATTCAATAAAAATATGTAACTTTTTCTCACATCTTCATGCTTAAAGTCAGGATCGAATCTTTATAAGTCTTTTGAATAAAAAAAAATCAAAGTACTCTTTGATAATTCAACTTATTTAATTAACTAGTAATTTAAGTATTGTACAATGCATAAACTAAATATTTATTATATGTAACTAAATTTTATAATAAATTATATATTAAAAATATTATATTTGAATATATAAATCATATTTAAAATTTATGATAAATAATTTATATAGTAATATAATATTATTTTTATTTATTAATAATTTAATTAAAAGTAAAATTTTATTTCTTAAATAATTATAATAAATAATAATTAAATTAGATAAAAAGTTAAAAAAATCTAAAAATTCTATCATCCAAAAAAACTCTTAAAAATGTTCTTACATAAAATAGAAATGCATGTTTAATGTATAAGAATTAATTTAAATTATTTAATTTGATCACTCTATTATTAAAAAAGTTTAATTTAGTCCCATAATTTTTTAAAACAATAAAATGCAGTAATTTCTATCTAATTGAAATTAATAATATTAAATTTTTCTACAAATAACATATCAATTTTTATCACGATATGTATAAAAAAAATAATGCTTTAATTTCAATTAGACAAAAAAAATCACATCATATTATTTTAAAATATTAAGAGATTAAATTAAATAAATAAAATAAAATAAGGAACTAAAATAATAAACTAAAAAATTACTTTTCAGATTAATCATCACAAATATTTTACATTAATAATATAAAAATTAAAATATATTTTTATTTCTTTAATATGAAGTAAAAATCTAAAAAAATAATAATAATTTTTTTTGAAAAAGATAAAACTTAAATCAATAATATACATTTTTATTTAATACAAATATCATTAATATATATTTACATATGTTATCAAGATAAAACTCTCATTCTAATTAAAGAACACGTATCTAAAAATTATACCTAAATTTTATTTTATTTATAAATACCAAGGATTAGAAAGTATCAATTTTAAGTTTAAAGAATAAAAAGAAATATACCCTAAACTTACATTAAAAACATTTTTTTTATCTAAATAAATTACAAAAAGGCAACAAAAATCAAATTTAGTTGTCAACTTCTACCTAACAACTAAACTACCGAACTAAAGAAAAATATATATATTTAAATCATAGTATACTTATAAAAAAAAATCTACAAATTGCATTATTTAAAAAAAAAACTCCATTTAAATTTAAAGTAATAATTTTTATTTAATAGGAATCTAAAATTAACAAATTTATTTAATAAAATAGCCTTTATTAAGTTTATTAATTAATACACATAACAGGATTCATGAGAGAAAACTCCGTTTATTATTTTTTAGATAACTTCTTTAACTAAAAGTATTATTTTCTATATTAATTCTAACAACCAACTTTTAACACCTGTCCTGCCCAAAATACTCCCAATATATTAATCAAATAATTTTCAAGATACCAGTAAAATTTTTATTTCAATAACTTTATATTAAATATAAATTTTATAAATTTAACCATTAAATTATAATTTCATAACACTTTATATATTTATATTTTATTATATTTTAATATATATATATATTATATCAAAATTATTTTATAAAAATAAAATATCAAATCATCTCATCTTAAATTGATATAAAATTATATATATATATAATAAAAAAATACTTTCAATTTGATTAAATTTATAAAATTTACATCATGCCAATTAAGATTCCCAAAATATAATCTACACAGTTCAAATAAATTTTCATTCATAAACAAATCCCATAAAACTAATTTCATTATGTTTTATTTATTCAAAATTCCTTCATTTTTGGGTATTATTTAATATATTTATTTTACGGGAGAAATAAAAATCCTTTTAAGAATCCTGTAAATTTAATGTTCAAACATGATATTTTAAATTCACTTAAAAATTAAATCCTGTCAAATTTTCATCCAAATACAATAAAAGACGTAATATAACTGTAAATCAGCAGTCCTGCTGGTGGGGAAAAACCGCATAACTCCAAAAGCAAATAAATCATGATATTTTAAATTCACTTACAAATTAAACATGCAAATAAATTATACACACCACACTGCTCTGATGTTTGTGGAAAAAAAGGCATAACTCCAAAGCAAACACTTTCTATTATAAATAAATAAAAATAAGTCACATTTTTTACTCTCTTACTACTGCTACTACATGAGTACGTCACAATTTTTCTCTTTTACACTTTTACTAATACAAGGTAATACATCAACAATGAGCAACTAAAATAACCCACCAACATTTTTGAGTAACTAGGCCTCAACAATGTGGGTAGGCTAAAATACGACTCTCTTAATTTTCTTATCTACATTCCCGTCTAATTCCTATGTCTATCTGTCATAAGGACATTCGAGATCATTTTCAGTGACCTTGAAGTGTTGTGGGCGCTGACCTGAACAATGCAGATTCCACATTTTAAAATACGATCTCTCAAGATTCCTCACCTGCAACATTCAAAATATTTAACTGTGTGTACAGGCAATGGAAAAACCATAGATTCCAGTGTTTCAAACTCACCCAGCGCGTTGTGTCAAATAGTGGGCAAGTCATGCGAACAGATTTAAGCTTGTTAGTAAGAGCTTGAAGCTTCGGCCGATTCAGAGCCAATGATACAGCTCTATCTTCATACTCTTTCATGCTACTCGGTTCCACAGAAGTTTAAAATTAAGTAAAAAGCATCAAGTTAATAAAAATAATTGTCAAGAGGGCATAAGCACATGGTTATGTCTGGCAGGCATTACTAAACAAAAAACAAATTGGAAAGTGCTAACCTGCTAACAATCATTTCCTCCCCAAGTCCAGTAGCAAGACAGAGTGACCCAGCAACCCTAGTAGCCATTTTCTCAAGAGGCAGAGTAACCATCGGCAAACCTGCCCATAATATATCTGTTCCTGTTGTATGTGCATTGCATAAAGGCCTGGAAGAAAACAGAAAAACATATAAGATCAAGATATACTATGTAAACAGACAACTACATGTAGAACATAAAGAGAGAAAGAATCAACTGGATGCAACAGAAAAATGAAGCGAGACAAATAAAATGGATTAGTGATTACGAGTCGAGGAATAAGTCCGCTAAAGAACTCCGTCTGATGTGTTCATTCTTCATTGCAACATCCGTGAAAATAATTTGATCTGGCTGTACCCCTTGTGCAGCAGCATCTGAAAGAGGTCCATAAATTGGAAACAGTGAATACAAATAAGATAATAGTAACTTTAAAAAATCTATGCGTATTCACGAGATGCCCTTTGGAGAATTAATAAAAAAGAATCAGATATTATCGATCGTAGACTTCGATAAAAGTATAATTTAATAAAAACACGTACATGCTCTCAGTCTCATTTCGCCTGCAGCAGGAAATCTCAGGAGCCAGAGTGCACTGTTGGGTACCCGTTTAAGAATGTTGCACCTAAAAAAATACAAGCATAGTCAGACATGCGATGGATAAGATGCCAAATTTTCGAGGGAAAAAATGAAGGGAATATAATTGAGAGATCATATATTTTATATAAAAAGGCAACAAAGAACATCCTGGCATTACCATGTATTAAATATTTCAGGATCCATCTTGTAAAGTTGATTGAAGCATGCAAATATAAATTTATCCTCAGGTAGACCATAATCTGATCGTTTGTGGGGGCAGTTTGGATCTAACACATCTTGATTTTTCTGAACAAAACATGCAGAACAAAACCACTAAATGCCCATGCATATAAATACATAAAAGGCACAGATAAAATTAAACCCAAGGTTCTCAAAAGTTCATAAAAATAACCTGTTTATAATCATTTACAAAGTAGCAATGGGGGAGATGGACAATCTTCTCAGAATAAATATGTGCATACCGTAGTGGTGAAACAAACTGCAAGAGAAGTAACAAGAGATCAGGATGCATGTAATGCGAATTAATAAAACATTATTCCTTATTTATTTGGCCTTCCTGGAAGCATTGTATCTCACCTCATCAGTGACCAAGTAATCTATGTAAGTAGCCCCAGTTGTTCCGGGGAATCCCATATATGAAACTTGAATTGGTGCAGGTTGCATAGCAAATATCTCATTTCTGGCACCCTGAAAAATAATAAGGAGAATTACATCGTGCAATAGAAAAGAACTTGAGTCATCAGGAAAAACTACAAAAATCCAATCATAAAATTTACCAGGTCATGATCTAATTACGGTTTCAAACAAGGAAAAAAGTTCACTCACAAAGACTAGAGTCAACAAGTAAAATAAAAGGCAAGTTTGATATAACAAAATTTGCACTAATTATGAAGTTTAAATACTTCAAAGATCATAAAAGAATTACTCCCTACCTTTGTATAACCATTAAGGTTGACAAGGATATGTATCTTATTCTCATTGATCAATTTTGCTATTGCATCCGATGACATGGCAGAAACATCCACAAAGTGCTCTGCTTCAGACTGAATACGTTGTCTCCATTCAGTACCATCATTTGCACTCAAGGCATAGCAGAACACCTACATATATAAATTGATAATAACACAATGAGAACAGCAGGAATAAAATTTGGAATAGAGATAGGTTGAAGAAA